AATGCAGGCTCTACGAAGCTGTAAAGCTTGCAATCGTGGTGTAATGAAGGCAAACACTCAATCAAGTTAGTATGCAGTAAATGCTTTTGTGATACACTGATGTTTGAAAGTGAACAAAACTCTATGAGAGATTGCAGCCCATTTTGCAAAACTTGAAGAACTTTTGCCAAGTGATGGAACATACGTCAATAGAAAATAGTATTATAAAAACAATCATATTACTAAAAATTAAAGTACTCTCATCATGTTCAAGAATTCTTTACTCAGTTTGCAACCATTTTAAAAAGTTAAGTAAAGTTTATTGCGTCTCACTATTGAGAAAAAATTTGAAAAAATTATATGTTGTAGAAAAAGTATAAAGGAAACAATTTGTGTTCCGAAAACTAAATTGTGCGTTCAGCCCGTTGTACCTTAATGACGGTGACTTCTATGTCACATAGCAGATTTCTGCTGTAAGAGCAAGAGTGGAGGGGACATTGCACCTGACCCTCCAGCGTAGCAGAGGGTCTGGACCAGCCAGACTACTTATTAGCTGGGACAAAACCTCCTAAGTTTGTTTATACATAGGTAAATGTTGCTTGAGTGAAAGATGTGCACCGGCATGTTAAATAAAAGAAAAGACGGAAAAAGAATTTGGTATAAGTTATTTGATCACCTGAGTTTGTGGTTTGACACTGTTTTAATTTATGAGTATGTGATAAGCATTAATATAATTGACTGACCACAATATCTTACTATAATGTTAGTTTAAGAATTTAAAAAAATAGAAAAGAAGTATTCCTCAAGCAGTGGTGCAGAAATTCTAGCCACACTAGTTTGCAACTACTTATCTTGTCTCTACAATTTCTAAATTTTATCCCAGTGTTTCCTATTTTTCAATTTTTTCATATTAACTTCTTTTTCTAATTTTTTAGATTCAGTAATCATTATTCCTCAGAGATTCATTTTTTGGGATTGCCTCCACCTTGCCAGTTGTTGCTGGAGAGGAAAAACTAATCATCATTAATCACTATTCATGAAGCAACATTCGTCACAAACCTCTCTTTCTGGAATTTGCTGTGAGGATGGCTCTTATCTACAACAAATGATAATCATAGTATCATTAATTATACCAATGCCGTTACCTATTACTTTTCTTATCAGAGTGAAAATTGGTTGGGGATGGTGAATGCACAATGCACCTTTAAGCACAATTTATTAGTAGTGAACCCTGTAGTTAAAATGTATGAAGTGAATTGTACAGAAATGACACAATGACACATTTAATGGTAAGGCCATATTAAAATTAAACAATTACCTAGACAGAATACCAGTAGTTTACTACTTCAGCATAGTGGACACTTTTTTGTGAAAAATAATTTTCACTAATCATGAGATACATGTGTGATGTTAACATATTAATTTATTTGTTAACAAGAGATCACCAGTTTATTTAAGAGCTAATAGTTGTATATAATAATTTACATACAGAAATTTATAAATCTCTTTTAATTTAGAGAGAGTTTAAGAAAGTTCCTTTCTTCAGCTCCTACTATATTTTGAAAATCTTACTGTCAGCTGCATAGTGGAAATTATATTGAGATAAGTTCTTACAATGCTAAGCATTAGATTTGGTAATAGTAAAGATTGTAATGGTCTTTATTCTGCATTTTTGAATTCAAGGTACTTACTTTTAATATATGTAATTGTTTTAGTGTTACTTACAAAAAAAGGAAGTTGAAGTAACCTAATTGGGGCAAACAATAAACAAAGGCATATAAAAAAGTATGAAGTTAGAAAGCAAATGGAAGGTTTTATGAATCAGAATAGATTAAACGCCAGAGCATACTATATAAATCAATGTAAAAGGGTCAGAAGTAAAACAAGAATTGCATAAAAGATTTTTAAAAAGTATAAGCTTGCTTCTGCAAAAGCCTATTCACGGCAGTTCCATGCACTGAACCCAGGTTATGTAATATCAAAATGTAAAAATTGGTATAGCAAAAATAAAAATTTCAAAAATTCAGTAATATTTTTATTTGCTCCTTTTACAGATGAGAGCACACACGTAATGAAACAAGAAACATTAAATAATCCTTTAGGCATCACAGAGAAGCATTTATACGTAGTAATGAGAATCATTTCACCAAACTGCAGGAATTATAAGAAGCTGAACGTAATTGGATAAAAATATTTTCACTGAAGAACTTCTTGATAACAAGGAAGATGATGAAATAATGCAAGCAGTAGCTGATATTGCTGACATACACATAAATGTACTAATTTTAACATTAGAGCAAATGGAGGCAATGCTTAATGTAGATAAAACAGAATTTTTTATAAAATTAAGAGTCATCTTATAAGTCACAAGGAACATGAAGATTTATTAGACAAGGAGTTTTCAAGACTACTTATTAGAGAATGAGTCTTCCTGACTACTTAGATTGGATCATATGAAACGGCTAAGAATGTTTATTAGTGGTGTAGGTGAAACTGGTCAATTGCTTTTAATACAGGCAAGAAAGTGCCTAGTCGATGATATATGGCATCCGAAAAGAGGTGAAATGTTGTTTTATTGTGGCAGAAACAGGTATAGAAAAGCACAATTACAATACACAAATTATTTCTGCTACCAATAGAGCATGAAGGAAGACAGCTGGATATTGGGCTTTGAATAAAGAAGCTCAGGAAAGGATAATAATGACACTTAACAATTTAAAATAAATAATAGTAAAGGAGGTATTAATGGTATCAAATCTAAATCTAGCATACTTACACATGCACTTGGAAGATATACTGGGAATTGATGAATGGTTTAGGTGCAAAAATATTTTACTTGTAGGTGAGCCCTTACAATTGTCACCAGTTAATTGTAGGCAAGTATTTAATATAATTAGCAACAAACTAGTAACAACTAGATTTTCAGCAGCGAATGCAGATATGGAGGAAACCGTAGAATATTATGAACTAACAATCAATGAGCAACGAAAAGAAGACCAAACATTTTTTGAAATGCTTGATTCTATTTGGCATGGCTGTCTTACTCATAAAACTATTTATACGCTTAAAAGTTGTGTTTTTAATGGGTAACAGAAACTATTTTTTGATGTCTTTATTTTTTGGCTTAATATGATTGCTTAAATTTTTTAATGAAGTGTGGCAACTCATTGTTGAAGAAAATTATTCACAAAGATATGACCTTTCAAAAATGTCCTTTTTCTTCCTACCATATTACTTCTTGTCAGTGGGTGTGGCTAAAGGTGACATTATTGGGGGCACTGATGGATTAATTCGTTCCTTTACAGGGGTAAATAATGCTTTATTCTAATGCGTAACTTTGCAGTAGCACTGATTTAAAGATTGGGATCATTAGTTCTCATTACTTTAAGCATGCAACTGCAAGAAAATGTCATAATACCACAAGTAGGCAAATCTTCTTGTTTGCTATTTTGAGTATTTTTTATGCAGTTGCAAGCTTAGAATAATTGGAACTAATGATCGCAATCTTTACCTCAGTGCTACTACATTGCTAGGTATGAGAATAAAGCATTATTTGCCCCTGTAAAGGCTGATTCACACTGCAGAGTTAGCGTTAGTTATTAACTTTAATTAACAACTTGCGTTAATGTTTGTAATTGACATTAGTTGTTACATTTAATACTTCAAATAAAAAGGCATGACCTGATAGTAATATGGAGTTAAATAGTGGATGATGAGAAAGAAGTTATTATTATTGTTATTTCTGCGAAGAAGGAAAAGGCTGATGAAAAGGCGACCAAGTCTAAATGGGTAGGGGAGATATTTAGATGTCGATCTAGTTTTGGAGAATATCACTCATTAATTAAGGAGATGAGACTAGTTGACCATTTTAGTTTTTAACGATATTTTCACATGAGTTCTTCAAGGTTTGATAATCTGCTACGTAGAGTAAAACCTTTTATAGTACGGAAAACCACTCAGTTAAGAGAACCTGTCTCAGCAGAAGAAAGATTGTCTGTGACTTTGAGATATTTAGTTACTGGTGATTCCATGCAAACAATATCGTTTAGTTATCGACTAGGTCACTCTACTGTTTCCTACATAATTGAAGAAACTTGTCAGGCTTTATGGAGGGCACTATCTGTTGAATTTTTACAACCACCAAAAAGCAGTGACGAATGGAAAAAAATTAGTGAAGGGTTTGCTGATATTTGGAATTTTCCCCACTGCATCGGTGCTATGGACGGCAAACATATCTTAATGCAAGCACCACCAAATGTTGCGTCACAATATTTCAACTATAAGGGGACACACAGCATTGTATTGATGGCGGTTTGTTACTACAACTACTGTTTTCTTTTATTAGATATTGGTGATTATGGAAAAAAAATTGACGGTGGGATATTCAGTAATTCAGCATTTGGAAAAGCTCTAAAAATGATTCTCTATTTTTGCCTGAACCAGATGTCATTTCTGGACAAAGTGCTAAGTTGCCATACTTCTTCATTGGCGACTCTGCTTTTCCTTTGATGAACTCAATGCTCAAGCCATATCCAGGCACTTATCTACCAGAAAATAAGCATATTTCCAACTACCGCCTTTTAAGAGCCAGACGAGTTATTGAAAATGCTTTTGGGATACTAGCATCAAAGTTCTGCATATTTAGGAGACCTGTTGTTGCTAAAGCACATAAAGTTACTTTAATAACACAGGCAGCATGTGCACTTCAAAATTTTCTTACAATTTCTGAAATGCATTGCCCAACTTCAGGGAGATTTTACTGTCCTGTTGGCTACATTGATAGAGAAGACCCACAAGGTAATGTCATCCCTGGTGATTGGATGGGTCATTGTAATACTCTTCAATCAGTCCGTCACGTTGGAAGTAACTTGTACTCAAAGTCTGCTGCTGAAGTGCGAGATTCATTTATGAACTACTTTAACTTGAGACCTGGTTCTGTACCGTAGCAGAAAGAAAACATTACATTAAAGTAACTTCATCTATTATTCTTATTGTCACAAAATTTAATGATTCTTATTAATAGTACACAACATCATCATTTTTGTTACAATTATGGAAACTCAATAGCATAAAGAATTGTTGTATTCTAATCTTTGCCGGAGCCTTTTGTTTCACTTCTATCCTCTTCAGGGTCAGAGCAACACTTCTTCCAAATGTGTATTCTTCATCATGTGATTTTGATTCATCATTTGACTTCTTTAGCTGTGACAATGTTTCAATATCAAATGGATCTAGTTCTACTTTGCGCTTCTTTACTTGTCTTATAGGTTTTAATAATACCGGAGATGACCTATTGGTATTAGTAACGCGGTAGCGTTACTAAGTAGGATTCACCCAAAAACAAAATGGCTGCCACGACTTTTGCAGCCTTGCTATACCTGGAAAACGAGCTCCTATGCTTACCAGACTTCTTAGAGGACCTTATCTTGACCAGAGGACTCCAATGGTACCACTAGCGTGGCTCTAGACCTTGTCTGGGAGAAAAATCAAAAACCTGCAAACCAGCCGTTTTGTTCAGCCACCTTTTTTCATCTTCATCATCATCAGGAAAGTCCTGTCAATCCAGTTGTAGGTCGATATATCAATCTTGCCTGGTGATAGAAGGCTAATTATTACACCATTCTACTCCAAAAGGGTATGCGCAGGTCCTAGTCCCCTAGAATCATTCTCCAAGAAAGGAAGAAGTGATACTGTGACTGTTGGATCGCACCAGCTTACCTCATGCTGCCATTTTGTTAATTAAAGAAGCATGTGCTCCAAAATTTGGGCGTGGTCGCGCATGCTCAGATCTCAAGACTGGGAATAGCAAGTATTTTTTCACCTAGCTAGGCTAGCTATGCTTGGAATCAAATTGCAATACTTAGTGGAGGTTTCTAGCTAAGAGAAGGTATTAATCTTGCATATATCAAGTGTGTAATGAATTATTTTATTTGAAAAACACAAAGCAATTAAGTAATGTTATAATACTAGTAATAGTATGAACTTGACAACAGGAAGCTGGGAAGATAGAGCTTCTTGAACAAAGATTCACGTCAAGACTATAGTATTCATTTCACTTGTCATCAGTATAGTAGACATTCCTT